AGCAAGTGTTTTAATAATTCTGACTTAATATCTTTTCCCATCTTCCCTTCTGCAAGCTCCTGTTTGCAGGGGGATGGTTCTTAGGTGGCAGCAGGCTTTGGTTTCTGCGGCCAGAATTGGGTTGGATCCTGCTCAGAGTAGGCTTGGAAGATATTTTCATATTACTATCATTTAAAGACCAGAATTAGTACTGAAAAATGGTTTCAGAGTGTGATCCTGACAATTGCCTTGCACAAGCAGGCCTTACTCGGAGTCAATGAGGAATACTTGTCAGAATTTGTGGGATTGGGTCCTCAGTTAGGGCTTTTCATACTGAGTTCCTCATGTGCTACACTGCACTAACTTGTTTGTTGGCGTTTTGTTTTGAAAACCCAGATCCTTATATTCTGGTGATTAGCATTTTAACTTGTATTAACAGAAGTTTGGGAATGAGATTACATTTTTCCTTTGCTTGACTCTGTTCTGTAGTTGCAAAACATTAACTTTGTGGTTTTTTTGGTTTTATGGCAATAATTTTATGGCTCTTATTACATTTTTAACATGCACTATTTACAGTACCCAATACAGACATTGTTTTCAGACTGAATATTCCCATGAACATGCAAATATGAGACTGAAGATCTTAAATTATCTCAATATCTAAATAATCTCAATACTTAAACCAACTGTGAAGCAGATAACAGGAGATAATAGTTTTTTTCCCCCCAGATAAAATGTTTAGATGATGAAGATTTTAACTTAATATTAATTGGCATTTTGACATAAAATTCAGTGCTGGAAGCCACATTCCAACAGTGTTGCCTAGAAAAATGTTCTGTTGCTATTTGTTTTGTTCCAGAATGTTTGGGAGGTTTGTTTGTTTCTTTTTGACAAAGGGAATGTAACTTAGAAGTCTTCACTGGCAAGTTTTCTATTAATTTTAAGCTTCTCTAAAATCTACAGTAAATGGATGTTCTGCTGCAGGAAATCTATTCCCTGCTGAAGCATTTTTCATTGAGCAATCTTGGTGTATGTGCTGATAAGTACCCGTTCTGTTAATAATATGTATTTCAGTGTCAAGAGAATATTTTGAATGCAAACAAACAAAAAAAATGAAACCAGTTAAAGAGTTGTACAATAAATTCTCTTGTGTAGTGAATGTTTTCAGATGACAAGGTTAATTCTCAAATAACTCTTATCTAGTGTAGTTCATGTTGTGAAGCTTTGCTTTTGTAAGATACAAATAAAATAACACTTTCTAATTAAGTCTTTTGTTAATTCTTAATGGCTTTTGCTTCAACAGGAAGAACTGGTGAAGTGCTCAAGACTAGTTGTGGTCTAGATGTCTAAGGACATGCCTTCTGGATAAGAAAATAATAGTGCATTTGTATGTCTGCTTGATTTGAAAATGCTTCATTTTAGAGCTGAACCAGGACACTTTTTTTCCACTGTTAACTTTGCACCTTTGGTCATCTTTCAGTTTCTCTCTTTCCTCAGATTCCCCTCCTATCAAGTGTGCTTCTGTGTCTGAAAGCAGAGGTGTTATCATGGTGAGGTGGTTGTCACTGCTGATCCAGCTTGAAGTTAGTCCAGCTGTAGGACTAGATGCCTTTCAGGTGTTCCTTTTTAGAGGATTGCATGAAATAAAGTTTAAGGATGATTTGTTGTTAGCTTGATCTTTGGAGTCAGGGTATGCTGGGCTGGATTTCTCTTCCGTAACACGGAGTGAGGAACTAGACAAGGCAGGAGCCTCCAGAAAAGGAAGCTGCATCTCTCAGCTGTTTTCAGCTGTAGTGCTGCTTTTTAAACACTGGACTCTTTTAAAACACACCAACATTATCAGTGATTATTTAAAAATATATTTATTGACTACATTGGCTGCCTCACGTTGGAATGAAGAAATCTCAGTTGTAGCAGGGTCAGAATCTTGATTCTGTGTGTTGGTTTTTGTCCAAGTGTCTCCTTGCCGCAAGTCTTCCAAAAATTCAACTTTCAGCTTGTTGAGTTCCTCTGCCAGGCTCTTCATCTCACTTGGGAGCAGGTTTTTGTCTAAAAGAAAATGAAAGCTGAACTTTGAAGGAACTGCACAGACTTAGCCTGAGGCTGCCAGTGGGCCCCTAGGATACACTCCACGTACCTCTTGCATCCCTCATTGCCTGAGAGATGAGGCGTCTGCAGGTCTGATCCGCCTGGTGGACAGCACTGGCTGCACAGATGGCTCGGTCTGCTTCCTGTCCAGGTGACCAACAGAGAGGAAGAACACAGGCAAGAAATGCTACATTTGATTCAGATTGTCACCTGGTTGTTTTCAAAGAGTACTTCAAAAGTGACAGAGTGGCAGCACCTCCATGACCAGCACAGTGCACATCCACTCCTTTGAATTCACAGGTGTGTGTGACATGAGGCAGTGAACATTGTTTTTCTCAGTGAGATGTGACAGCTCCAAAAATCCTTTGGCTACTCTAGATTCACAGAATCACAGAATGTCCTGAGTTGGAAGGCACCTTAAAGATCATGCAACCATTCTTAAATGTTAATGGCTTAACTTGAGGTGAAGGATTTCAAACAGGATTAATTATTCTGTGTCTGCTTTTGCAGTCAAGAAATGCAATAGGCATTTCTCAGTTTCTGTCATCATGGTGCTCTGAATCCAGCTCAGGAATAACTCACTCTCTCATCCACCATCCCCTGAAAGAGCCATGACTCTGAGGACAGGCAGTGCTACCTTTTGCTCAGTGTCTTCTTCGTTTTGCTTCACTGGATTTTCCAGAGCAGTGGCCAGCAAACTAATTATCTGCTCGCTGAGAAAACAAAAGAGTAAACCAGGTTAACTTTGGAAAGACACCTCATCACAGGAAAAGAAAAGCAAGTTTTCAGTTCAATTGATGAGGCAATTAATGCCTTCATCATCTTTCTACAGCCAGTTAGATGAAAAACAGCTACAACTAAAACTACAGATAATTATTTCTGGTCTTAACGTTTCAGACAATTTACGTGAATTGCCCATGACAATTTAGAAGTGCAGTTGTTTTTGAGGTTAACTGTGCAAAGAACAATGGCTGTGAGTTCCAAACAACCAGCATCTAGTGTGTGTCATTCCCTGGCCTCCAAAAGTCACCACATGGAATAGTCTTTCCATCCCTTTTAGAGTAAAATGCTTCTACCCACCCGTTTATGAAAACAGTGAAAACCCAACAAAGTAACATACTCATCCTCTGAAGTGCAACCAGAACTTTTCAGAATGAGGCTGTTCCTTTCCCAAGGGTTTTTCTTGGCATCTGGCACTTCTATTTTTGTTGCCATCAGCTCTATTGTCTCATCAGGTAAGGGATGACTCCTCAGGCGGTTCCTCTGCAAGCAGCATTCCAGGGGGCACTCTAAAAACACCTGGCAGAAGCTCAAGGAATCTACAAGAACATCGACAGGCAATTTTTACCTCTGAACTGTCGGAAGCAGAAATTTCTGGGAGCAGCAGGCATGAGAAGGGCTTTACAGGAATGAGGAAGCTCTATGCTAGTTCTGAGCCTGAAAAGAGCACAGAACTAGGGAGAACACAAACTATTTTTACCTTTGAGGTTGCACAAATGTAATTTCTGGGTGTACCATATGTAAAAAGGGCTTTAAGTGACCCTGCTGCTTCTAAAGATACTGTAATAAAGTGCTGTTGATGCTCACTACGGCGAAGGAAGCGAGCTAAGAGTAACAAATGCAAGGGCACTTAAGGAAAGGTAGGTCAGAGCGCTGTGCGCTTCCCACAGCGCCGAGACGGCCCTCGCGCCCAGGAGCAGGGTAATTACATTTGCGAGCCAGCTGGTACACCTCGTATCTCATGCTCCGGTAGTAGAAGTTGTCGTCCAAGATGAGGCAGAGCGGCCCGGCGGCGGCCCGCAGCAGGCCCTGCCCGCGGCAGCAGGCCAGGACGCGCTCCCAGGCGGGCGGGGCGACGTCGGGGG